CAAAAGTTTGGACCTTTATGAGTTTGAAGCACCCCAAATAATATTATCTTTCCTTTCATGCATTTTAGGACCTGTAGATTCATAAAAATGGTTTCTTGATCATTTCATATGGCCCATGCATGGGTAAAGTGACTTAGATTGTGATAGAAGTTAAAGTTTGTTGCATTGGCTTCTTTCTATCCATGAAAAGGCTTAAAGTCGATGACTTTATGGATTAATACACCCTAGGATGGTCAGATATAAAGTTGGGATAAGTGTCTTAACGGATTAAGAAATAAAAGTTGGTGAAGTTGGATCAGGCAGAGTATATTGGGCGTACTCCTGGCTATGCCCTGCGTAGCCAGTCTCATCCCTGATTGGTCGCCGATCAAGCAGTATGCCCCACGTAAGAGAGAGTACGCCCAGTGTACGCGTTGGGCAGTTGACTTTCGTCGACTTTTGACCTTTGGTCAAGATTTAGGGATTGGGCCATGAGAAGGGCAAAATGGTATTTTTCCCCTTAAGGGACTTAGTTGTGGGATTGGACTCACGATTTGAGTTATGGACCTTAATTATTAATTAGCGTTAATTATTTCGTTGATTAGGAGGAGACTAGTTTCGGCAGTTTGGATGTGAGATTTATTTGTCATCGGTATCAGGTAAGTCTCCTCACTTATTCTTAACTATGTGGTAGAATCGTTGTATATGTGATGACCAGTTGGGTCTACTTTTATTTTGTATGATGTTGTTTATGTGTGACTGAGACTGTAGATAATCTCCAGGGTTGCTGATAACCCACAGGGTGTGTTGTTGCCTACTGAGACTGTTGATAGTCCCCGGACTTGCTGATAACTCACAACTGTTTATTTTATGTTGTTTTGTATGTGGTATCTTGGGGAACCCACTAAGCTCCGTGCTTACAGTTGTTGATTTATGTGTTTCAGGTACTTCTGAGGACCACGGGAAGATGAAGGTCTGATTGTACTCACTTGTTGTGGGATTTGTTACTAGGACAATTTGAGATACTCTGATATTATTTGATGATGTTTGTTTTAGAAACTTATGATTTTTATGACTTGGGTTGTGAAGCTTAATTTTGGTAAATTAAAAATAAAATATTTGGTTTAAAAGTTAAGGTGTTACATGAGGTTTGGTCATTTTCTCATCTATTTGACCTAGTTCGGTGAAGGACATGCATTAGTCACACATGTCCATAAAATTCAATTTTTTAAGGATATTTAGGGTCCCAATAAGCTTACTGGAGAGTAATCATAGTATGATTAAAGGGCTTTTAACATACTAAGGACTCAATCCACTAAGTTGTCCAGATGTAATAACTAGGACGTGGCAAGGTGCTTCTCATGATGTAGTGAAAGGGAATGTCGTGACTATTATGGCGTTCAACTAACACGACATGGTCATGCGTTGGCCATGATGTGGTGACGTTCTGAGTTGGCTTTGACCGTTGACTTTTTGACGTGGTTAACTTTTGGTCAAATTACTAGTTTTAGAGTGTAGGCTAAGGTTTGACCTTGGGTGTTTCGATAGGTGGGTTATAGCATCGGGTTCGCAACTTTGACCTGTGATTATTTCAACTTCGAACTTAAGGTGAGTCTTCTCACTATAATATGTAAGATGCCATATCTTTGTGATACTTACATGGAAGACTAGGATTTGGCCCCTGACACTTGTATGAAAGACTAGGATCTGGCCCATGTCATTTGCATGGAAGACCAAGATTCGGACCTTGATACTTGTATGTAAGACCAAGGTTTAGCCACTGGATTTGCAAAAAAAAAAAAAAAAAAAAAAAAAAAAAAAAAAAAAAAAAAACATGATTTGGCCCATGCTAGTAGCTGATTGTCACACTATGATTTGGCCCATAGCTTTCACTGTGGGTTGGAATAGACACGTTACATGTATAATATATGGTATTTTGGGAACTCACTAAGCTTTGTGCTTACGGTTTCGTGTTAAAAAATTTCAGGTACTTTCGGTTCTAAAGAGAAGGGCCCGACTTGATCGTACTGCATCCCTTGGAGAACTTTTCCACATTGTTGATTTTTGATTTTTATTATGATGTTTGAAAACATATTTTACTCTAATTGTCTTTTGAACCAATAGTTGAATGGTTTTGGTAATTGAAAAATGAAAATTTTACTTCATATTTTTGGGATGTTAATGAAAATATGAAGTGCATGTGACCTCTGAATACAGGCAATGAAATCATTGTAGTCAATATCTTCTTAGAACTAAGGCTTATGATTCTCCGATGCTGAAGAGTGAGATCCAAATCCACAAAACCGATTTGTCACCGACTACATATTAAGTTCATAGTTGCACCATAACTGATAAATGGAAGATCCCATAATTAGATCACACCCTTTCTTCGAAAGTCCGAAACATCTATTGTTCTCGAAACATAAAACACAAATAATTTTTCATAAGAATAACATGTAGATAAATATGAAACATCATGAAGTAGAGTATAAATAGTAGATAGTCTAGATCTAGGAACTAAAGTTTTTCCCCATGATTTCCAACTGAGGATTTGTCGACTCACAAGATAAAAAGCATCGTTATTAATGAAATCAAACACAACGCAAACATGAAATTGAATATTATAGCAACTTAGAAAGGAAGTTTAGACTCTTCAAACTTCAAACTGTTATCGGAACTATTACATGCAACACGTGGTTAAAAAAATGAGATTGTACAAACTCTCTAATTCGAAATCAATGGATTTACAAACTTACAAATATGATGTTTGATTTGGATGTTTTTGCATAAAGGTGATAAAAGTCTCGGTTCACTCAGGATCGTTTTGTTGATTTTGAAGGCCTTTGCAAAAAGTAAAATTGGCCCATAAATTTTCAGATTAGTGAAGAATAAGCAACAAATAATGACAGATTAGCACTGATAGAGACATATTAGAAACAAATTGGTTGATGCATTACCAACATATTAGCAACGAATTAGTGACAAATTAATAACGAATTACTGACATATTAATTTTTCAGGCCCTTCAGGATACAGACACTATAGGGTTACACACCCGATGCCTGCCCTGGTTTCTCTTTCCACATTTCATTGTATAGACACACTCAACAAATTTTTAGCGGCAATTAGGGGTGTAATTTAGTCGAGCCAAGCCCAAACATACCCAAGCTCGGATCGAGCTCGTTTATATTCATATGGGCTCGAGCTCGACTCGTTTCGAGCCTAGTTTCAAAGCTCATGCTCGGCTCGTGGGAAAAATAAAATACTCGAGCTTAGCTTAGCTCGGGCTCGTTTTGTTTATTATGTGAGCCTAAATGAGCCTAGGCTCGACTCGAGCTTGTTTATGTTTTTTGAGCTTGTTTGATTGTTTATCAAACATTCAGGTGAATAATCCAACATCAAAACATACATTCATACATTCCATATTTCCATTGGTTTAATGTTTATAAAATATAACCAAACATAAGAACATAAAGAGTAAAAGCTCAAATTACAAAAATAGTAGTTAAACTTCCAAATTTAAAAGCAACTAGAAATAAACAAATTTTCTTCGATGCAACTTCACTACTTAATACAAAACCCTAGATGGCTAGATGTTGTGCGTGTGAATTTATGCTCTAAAAATTGAATTGGAAAAAAAATAAGTGAATGGGCCAAATAAAAGATATTAAGAAAGCTTATTACTTTATTAGCAAAATGTAACATATAACGTAAAAAAACAAATTTATGTTATAATATATACGCTCATTTAGGTTCACAGACCTAATCGAACTCGGCAACATAAGCTTGGGCTCGAGTTCGTTTAATAAATGAGCCTTATGTTGAGCTCGAGCTTGGTTCGGGCTCGTTTAACTCGAGCTCAAGTCGAGTTTTTAACGAGTCAATCTCGAGTAGATCACGAGTAGGTCGACTCACTTACACACCTAGCGACAATTATAATGCAACTAGTAAGCAACTACTTAATCGGTAGCAATCAGGGTCGGTCTTATGTGTAGATAAACAAAGATAGGGCTTAGGGCCCCCACTTTTAAGGGGCCCCACTTAAACCCCTGTTTCGATTACCTCGTTCATATTCCATTTGGTTGTTCTTAAAAATAATTGAATTCCTGCACGCCTTTCCCGGAATCGTTGCATGCCTAAGGCCTCAAAAGAATTTATGTTCTTCTTATTGTACAAGCGACGATTACCAATCTTCTTCTTCCTTCTCCATTCTCGGCTTGAACACTCTGAAGTGTGAACCGCTAAAATACATTACATGATGTTCTTCTTCTTCCTTCTCCATTCTCCATCGAAGGTTATCACAGACTCATAATATCATTGAAACTGTAATATATTTGCTATTTTTTCACTTTTTATTTTTTATTTTTCCATTATCTGTCATGTTGTCATTTGATTATCTAATTAGGGTTAATACTTAAAAGCTTATTAGGGTTATTGGATTTGGTTTGTGGAATTGGAATGGAATCGAAATTTTCTTTTTTTGATCAAAATCATGTTTGTTTTAAAAATCCCGATTGAAGGCAAATTGGTAATGACCATGTTCGATCAAAATCATTTCTGAGTTGTCTAACTATACAAATATCTTGTGCTTTAGCAGATTCAAACGGGAATGAATCTTTCTTGATCTGATTTTTTATTCCATGTGTTAATACTTTTTGGTTCTTATTTTTTTTATTTATCTGATTTTTTATTCCATTGTTCATTGATTACAAAGATTACAATATATACAATTAGTGAATCAAGTTGGATTGTTGGAACAAATTAAAGTTTTTAGTTTCCAGATTTGACAATGAGACCTGAAATTTTTAGTTTGTTTAAAGTTTTCAAACCTGTCGAGAGAGCCCTCGTAACAATTATAAGGGATCTTCAAATTAAAGAAGCAAACTTTATAAAAATAAATAAATTAAAGCTGAACCAAAAATGCATGTCAAATTAAGTGAATTTCATGCCATTAAATCGGGCCCTTAATAAAATCATAAAATATTAATAATTTTATTTATTGTTAACATTTTTAGAATAAAATGAAGGTACATACATACAAAGACTCACTTGTCAACACGACTCCACCTTGGTTCGCTACCTTGTCTGGCGCCTTCCCAAAAAGTGAAAAACCCTAACCACCACCACCACCACCACCACCTCTCGAACACACATTCACACACACTGTCCTTTGCTCTATCTACACTCATCCCTTCATCCCAAATATGCTCTCATTGCCAAATTTCCCCATCATTTAATTTCGATTTTACACTACTTCATGATTAGTCAGTAATGTAGCTGTTCATTTCACTTGTTTCTGAAAACAACTCAAGTTTGCTACTTACCCACTTACTGTAGATCCCTAAAGACTGTACTGGGGTTTTCATTTGATTCCTTTCTTGGATCAATGTGAGTAAAGTTGTCAACTTTTTCGGGTTTATCTTTTCTGGGTTTTGAGTTTTAGTGTTGATTCAAGAAGTGAAGTTCACAAAATCGTTCTTTTTATTCCTTTCTTCTACACATTGTGATGTTTTCGTGTGTATAAAACCCAAGGATCGTATGTAATTCAAAGGGTGTGTTGCATATTGAATCAAACTGGTATGCGTCTCATCTCACTCCATCTTTCAATTCTTTAAAACCGACAGCATAATCGTTCTGAATGTGTCCGTTTCTTCATTTAATTTTGTGTTTTCGTCAACAAAGATTAACAATTTTGTCATGTGAATGTGGGTGGAGATATGAATTAATGTTTACCAACTAATGTATTGTACTAAAAAGTTTCCATGTTCAGGAATCACGTGATTCGATTTGAATCAAGCAAAAAGGAAATGGGGTGCTTTCATTTGATTTAATTCACAGTTTTGTTTTCTTGGAAACAGATTTTCCTAGAGACGATGATGAATGTCGAGCATATCTTCACAATTTCGATCTTATTCGCCCTTTTGATCATAACAAAATCCGAAGTTTACATCGTAACAATCGAAGGAGATCCAGTGATAAGTTATAGAGGCGGCATTGATGGTTTTGAAGCCACTGCTGTCGAATCCGATCAGATTCTCGATGTCACAAGGTTATTTATTGTTCTTAAAATCTTCCTTATTTATCGTTATTCACTCATTTAAGTGTGAAATTAATCACCTTTTTTTTTTTTTCCAAAATCTCTGCTCCATGTTCAGTGATTTGGTGACGTCATACTCCCAACACCTCGAAACAAGACACGATAATCTTCTCGAATCACTATTTGATGACGAAACATACACAAAACTTTACAGCTACAAGCATCTCATCAACGGTTTCGCAGTCCATATTTCTCCAGAACAGGTCACAATCCGGACTTTTTACTTCCATTTATGTTAATATCTTTTGATAAAAACCGAAGAACATCTGTAAATATGTATAACAAAATGGTAATTTCAATTTTCAATCGTGTTTTCTTACACATTTATACGTATATTAGTAGGCAGAAACGCTAAGGCGAACCCCTGGTGTGAAATCAGTGGATCAAGATTGGAAAGTGAGGAAACTTACAACACACACCCCTCAATTTTTGGGGCTTCCAACTGGAGTTTGGCCAACTGGTGGTGGATTTGATCGGGCTGGAGAGGATATCGTGATCGGATTTGTGGATTCCGGGATTTTCCCGCATCATCCGAGCTTCCGGAATTCTGATTCCGAACCTTATGGGCCACTTCCGAGGTATAGAGGGAAATGTGAAGTTGATCCCGATACGAAGAGGAGTTTTTGTAATGGAAAGATTGTTGGGGCTCAACATTTTGCAAAAGCCGCTACGGTTTCTGGCGCGTTTAATCCTTCCGTTGATTTTGCTTCTCCGTTGGATGGTGATGGACATGGAAGGTTTGTGTGATTATCCATTGTTTAAAATATATCTGTTAACATGACATGACAGAACAGGTTGTCCTGTATTTTGGTGGACATGACTGAGACTGATGTCAATCAGACAACTGAAAAGGTGTTACACGACGGGGGGAAGTGTCTTTCTGTGTGTGCAAAAGACGTAAATGTCATTATTTATTTCTCTTTGAAGTGTTAATATTTTTTTTTACAGTCACACTGCGGCGATTGCTGCTGGAAATAATGGAATTCCGGTGCGAGTGCATGGATATGAATATGGAAAAGCAAGTGGAATGGCTCCTCGTGCTAGGTTTTTATCATTATTTAACTCCCTTTCATTTATTTGTGTTATAGCATCCTATTTTTTTGTTAATAGGACATGATTCTTTGAAAATCTAATGAATTATAGCAATGAAAATTGTTTTGTATTTGTACAAAATTGCTATAATAATATAATATGGTCCATTTTTCGAAGTACAATGCTTTGATAGGAAAAAAATGAAAGTAAGATGCTGTAATAAAAAAAATCAATGAAAGTATGTTGCTATTTCTTGAATTTAATCATTTATTTGCAACAAAAGACAAAGCATGATGTTTGAAAAAAGTTAATCACTATTTGAATAGGATTGCGGTGTACAAGGCACTCTACAGGCTATTTGGAGGCTTCGTTGCTGATGTCGTTGCTGCCATTGAGCAGGTTTGGTTTGAATAAAAGGGTATTTTGGTCTTTTAATATCAAAAAGAAAAAATGGAATTTAATTTCTTCTGGCAATCGGAATCGTGAAATCCAACAAACATGATCGAATTCCCTCCATTTGACAACCAAATTGGCAATCGAATGGAACCTGGAATTCAAATTCCATCGGAATTCACAAATCACAAACCAAAAACGCTCTAATCGATCATCAATATTTCATTCTTTTTGTAATAGTGATCCAAAATAACAAAAGACAATATTCGTTTATTTAATTTGATTATAACAGACAATCGTATTGATGCCAAGTAATCCGATAACAGGCAGTTCACGACGGTGTCGACATTCTGAACCTCTCCGTTGGGCCGAATAGTCCTCCGGCCACCACAAGAACCACTTTTTTAAACCCATTTGACGCCGTTCTTCTCTCCGCTGTAAAATCGGGAGTTTTTGTCGCACAAGCAGCGGGAAACGGAGGCCCTTTTTCAAAAACGTTAGTGTCTTACAGCCCTTGGATCGCATCTGTAGCTGCAGCTGTTGATGATCGGAGATATAAAAACCACTTGACACTTGGAAACGGAAAGATCCTCGCTGGAATTGGCATGTCACGTAAGTTCAAGGCCCAATTTTTTTTCTTTCTTCTTTCTATTAAGTGTCATGAAACTACAATATTGTAACGAAAAGAAACGAACGTAAGATTCTATAATTTGTTTCTAATATGATACTCTAACCGATGCAGCTGCTACACGTTTGAATCAAAAATACACCCTTGTAGCAGCCAATGATGTGTTATTGGATTCTTCCGGAAAGTCAAGTACATCTGATTGCCAAAAACCCGAAGTTTTAAACAAAAATATGGTAAAAGGAAACATACTTTTATGTGGGTATTCCTTCAATTTCGTCATTGGAACAGCATCAATGACTAAAGTCGCACAAACTGCAAAAACACTCGGTGCAATTGGTTTTGTTCTTGCGGTTGAAAACACGTCTCCGGGAACAAAATTTGATCCTGTACCTGTTGGAATCCCTGGAATTCTCATCACCGATGTTAGCAAATCCATGGTACTTCACATTTTTTTTTTTAAATTCCGCTAAATGAAAGAAATTGCACTTGTTTCATTAATTTATTTGTTATAATAACATTCTACTTTGAAAAATCTACCAAATTATATTTATAGGACCTTATAGACTACTACAACGTCTCAACTTCAAGGGATTGGACAGGGCGCGTGAAGAGCTTTAAAGCAGTGGGGTCCATTGGAGATGGTTTGGAGCCGATTCTTCACAAATCAGCACCAATGGTGGCATTATTTTCAGCTCGAGGGCCAAACATAAAAGATTACAGCTTTCGAGATGCGGATCTTTTGAAACCCGATATTTTAGCACCCGGATCTTTGATTTGGGCTTCTTGGTCCCCGAATGGAACCGATGAGGCTAATTACATAGGTAAAGACTTCAAAACATCGTACTTTAAAATTAGTTTCATTTATTTGTTTATTACATAAGTAAACCCTAATTGTATTGGTTTGAGCAGGAGAACACTTTGCTATGATTTCGGGAACTAGCATGGCTGCACCACATATAGCTGGGATTGCAGCCCTTGTGAAGCAGAAGCACCCTAGGTGGAGCCCTGCTGCCATCAAGTCGGCTTTAATGACAACATCAAATACACTTGATAGAGCCGAGAGACCAATTCTAGCCCAACAATATTCGGGTTCTGAGACTATGACATTTGTTCCTGCCACCCCGTTTGATTATGGCAGCGGCCATGTCAACCCTAGAGCCGCCTTGGATCCCGGTCTCATTTTTGATGCAGGTTTGTTTGTAATTTTACTTTTGTTGTTGGTGCGAACTAACCGTATTTGTGCAAATGCCAAAAAACACTACCGTTTTCAATGCCGATCAAATACGCTTTCTAAGGCTATTTTTGCAGAGAAGAACAGATATCGAGAGCGACTCCATGTCCTACCTTGTTCCGCCTTTTTGGACGAGACAAAAAATTGCAATTTTTGTTTCATTGACATCTGTCTTAGTCTTAGTCTCAGTCTCAGTCCAATGTAAGCCAAACGCAGTATAACTTGTTTTGTCATGTACTGAGTAACAAATGGGCCTAAGGCCCATTTCTTGCACAAAATAAGACATGTCAATATTATACTGCGTTGGCTTCCATTGGACTTGGACTAAGACTAAGACAGATGTTAATGAAACAAAAATTGCAATTTTTTGTCTCGTCCAAAAAGGCGGAACAAGGAAGGACATGGAGTCGCTCTCGATATCTGTTCTTCTCTGCAAAAATAGCCTTAGAAAGCGTATTTGATCGGCATGGAAAACGATAGTGTTTTTTTAGCATTTTCACAAATTTACAAATTCAAATACTCGAATTCCATATTCCGATGTTAAAAGGTTTTGTTTCTTGAAGGTTATCAAGATTATCTAGGGTTCTTATGCACAACACCCGGACTCGACTCACACGAAATCCAAAACTACACACACCAACCATGCAACTACACACTCGGCCACCCGTACAATCTAAACTCACCCTCAATTGCTGTTTCCCATCTCGTAAGAACTCAATCCATAACACGAACAGTCACAAATGTTGATGAAGAAGAGACATACACAATCACAGCTAGAATGTCACCAGCTGTAGCCATTGAAACGAGCCCTCGAGCCATGACCCTCAAACCGGGTGCAACCCGTAAGTTCACGGTTACTCTAACCGTCCGGTCAGTCACCGGGACCTACAGTTTCGGGCAGGTTTTGTTGAAAGGAAACCGAGGGCATAAGGTTCGGATTCCAGTTGTGGCCATGGGTTATGATCGGTAGTTTGTGCTTGTATTGTTTGTAAAAAAAGTTGGACGTACAATGTTGTTAAGTTTTGTCGGAGCCATTTCTCGCAATTATGACTTGAATGCAACTTTGGTTGTACTTTATGCTTCTTCGGTTGTGCATTGGTGGAGGCGAAATCGTAATTGTGAAATTTGGGGATTTGTGGTGTAATTGAGTTGAGTCTGACGGATTTTCTAGGAGAGGTTGAGTAGCTCAACTTTATCTAGTGTCATTTTGATGTGTTTTATTAGAGTTATAATGATTAAGTTTAGTGTAGTGATGTTGTAATATTTGTATTTCATTTAGTAGATGTAATGATTTGTATTTCGTGTAGTAGAATTTATGTATTATTCTTGATCTAAAAGCTTGGGGTTGTTATAATAAAGCTTATATGATTCGGATTCCCAACATCAAGTTATTTGCTTCATTGTAGATTATCAAATTACTTTTTTTTTTTTTTTTTTTTTTTTTTTTTTTTTTTTTTTTTTTTTGTTTAAGCAAAATTCCTTTTGATGTGACGATGTTGATGAATACTTGTATTTATAAGTATACGAGGTCATAAAAGTTATGTACGGTTGTAAAACCAAATATTATATCCATATGGACTATTCTATCCTAAAAGCAAATTAATTAGGTAATTGTTAGTTAAAAATGATTTGGGTTGATTAAACTAATGAAAATTATTTTTGTTTAAAACTAAAACCAGAAAAATTTAACAAGCAACTGATATTTCGAAAACAAATTCAAATGATATTTGGTAACACAAAACTAAAAACCAAATTGACTAAAGAAACAAACGTACTATTTGTGATTTAACAATAAAAAAACGGAATTTAGTATGCAATTACTTAATTAACACAAATTAATGGTAATAAATTTGCTAACAACATTCAAAATCATCAACTACCTTTTAGTCTTATGATTCGATTGAAATCACTCATCCATATCTCTATCTAGTTCATGAAATTAATAAGTAATATATTCAATGGTTTTGTTAAAAGTATAAATAACACATATATGTTAATTTTAAGTGAGATCACGAAACCACATACTCATGTTTAAATGATTTTCCAGTTAAAACTCCTCTCAAAGTCGAAGTCATTAGTTACATATAATTACTTTGTGAAAGTTGATTTAATCTTGAACATTTGTTATTGGCCGGATAATAAACATTCGTCAATTAATCAAATTTCATTAAACCATTTAATACTAAAAACACTTTTAAACATCAAACAACTACCACTTAACTAATGTAATTAAATTAACTACATTTTTATTATAACTTAACCCAAAGTCAACTAAATCCTATGAAAATTTATCCATGACAACTAATTGAACAAAAATAAGCCCAACAAACAAATACTTCACATATTTTGTTCACATAACAGGAAACTGTATACTAGCCCAACAAGTAAATTGTATACTGACCCAAAACGATATCATACAACCCACAAAGGAGATAAAACAGCCCACACGCTCCTCCCTTCTCTCCGATCGTTCGATAGCTACAAAAATTCATAAAAATCGTAGAACAATCTCTTCCCTTCGGCTTGAATTGATTGCAGGTAGGTTTAATTGCACCCATCTTTTCTCTCTTTCTGAATCGATTAACATTTTTGAATGCTTCTCTATTTCTATTTATCTCTGTGTACTCTTAAATCAATACTTCTCTGCATTACATTGCAGCTTGAATGATCAATCTGGGTTTAAAACAAAGTGACCCTCGACATCTTGTTTTGTTTACGGAGTAAAATTAGGTTACAAAAAGGCTGATTTAGGGTTTTGCACTTACTACTGAGTACTGATTGATTCTAATTTTGTTTATTTGCTACATAAAGATGCTAGGTTTTCTTTATGCACCCATATACAATAATAGTTGGTAGCGGTTTAAAGTCGAATTACAAGTTAAATTACGATTGACATATTAACAAACAGTTGGCATGCGTCTTGAACAAACAACTACATATACGTTTAATTGCTAATAGAACGCCATTTTTAAACTCAAATGGTGTCATTAGGATCATAGAGATATAGAAGCAGAAAGCAGATGATGTCACCAAGGTCATAGAGGTAGCAAACAAAAGCCAAATCGAACCTGCAAATCTGCAATGGTGATAAACATGATGCTAGTTAAATTATATATATAGAATGGATTTATAAAGAGGTACACAACACAGTGGATAATATAGTAAGATTGCATTACTTTTAAACTACATTTACAATTGCTGTGTTTGATATTTTTCAGGTTATTAGAAGCTGTTTTGAAGCCTTTTCTTTTCTTTGTAATTTGTAATTTGTAATTCCTGCTACTGATATAGATGGAGGATCACTCGTTTTTTAACAACATGATGCTAAATCTTCGTTCCACCTGCAAGTATGTGTTCAATTATTATCATATTAAACTTGTTTATTTTCTTTCTTGAAAAGTTGTTTATTATAATTACTATTTTGCCCTTGTAATCTTAAAGGTATTATACTGGATACCCAAAGGATCTTGGGCCATCAAGGGTTATTCATTTTACTTCAGAGCGTGAATTTGTTCATCTTCTGCATCAAGGTCACCGTGTGGTTGTTGCTTTCACAATCAAGTAATTTAATATAATATATTTTCCTTTTTTTTTTTTTTTTTTTATGGTTGTTATTTTCTGTATTCTGTTTGTATTAATATCTTTTTTTAATATTTTCAGGAGTAATTATACAAAACATCTTGACAAGGTATTGGAGGAAGCTGCTGCTGAGTTTTATCCAGAAATTAAATTTATGCGAGTAAGTTGCTTCTTTCAACATTGTCTTAAAAAAGATAACCTTTTTTATTTTCTGTTTTTTTTTTTGATGTGGTATTAATATTATTAGGTTGAATGTCCAAAATATATTGGATTTTGTATGACACGACAAAAGAAGGACTATCCATTTATAGAAATGTTTCATAGCCCAGAACAAGTAAGTTTTCTATATTTTTCTTTCTTTGTGTACTCTTTGAGTTGTTAAAATAAATAACGTTCAAAATAGGGATAATCACAAAAAAAAAAAAAAAATCATATTAATTTGTTCTTCTTGCATTTAGTCACATTTTTACCTACATTTGATGCAGGCAAATCAAACAAGGGGTGTTGATCCAAATGTTACAAAGTACTCAGTTAAAGTTTTACCTGTGAGTTTTTCAAACTACATATATAATATAATATAATATAATCTATACACACGACACATGCGTATGTATAAACGCACATGTCTATATGTGTTTGTTTACATGTACACATGGCCTATATATATACACCCACACTCACACATGTCTATTTAAATAAATACACACATGCTTAATATATATATGGCTATACTCACACATGTCTATTTAAATAAATACACACATGCTTAATATATATATGGCTATACTGAACTCATAAGATTTTATTTTATTTTTTTTTTATTTTCAGTACAACTATGATGTGAGCGCATATGGATTTAGAGAGTTTTTTAAACGACACAACATACAGTCGTCTAGTCACAAGTGACCTGGCACGCCACCTGGCTTTATGGGTTTTTTTATAGTAGGATTTTATGTTTGCTTGTAACTTCAATTTGGTAGAATTTATATTAACATTATCTATTTTTCTATTTACTAAAATTCAAGTTTACATGTAATATATATTAGCAATCTCTAAATATTATTAAAAGAGAAACCTTATGACATCATCTAAAATAATCTGAACCGTTGATTGTGTTTTTTTATAGGTTTTACACCCTTAGATCAATTTGCTTACATCACCTTGATCAAACAAGAAGTCAATCTGTTATATTAGGAAATTAAATGTATGAATTGAATGAAAATGATACTTGAATTCTTTCCAAACTTACAACTACAAAATTGGTTCCTTATTAATATAAACCTTAAATTTAGGTTTTATTTTCATTCAAAATTACTTTCCAAATATATTATATGTTGAAATCTCAGAAACTATTAATTTCAAATTTCAAAAGTTTCGGATTCCTATTTTAATAAAAGAATAGTTTTATTCTTCTTTTGACATGTGTCACCATATTAAGCCTCATAATTAATGCATATTTTAATTTCCTTTTGCCATATGTCACCCTATTATGTCTCGTAATTAATGCATGGCACTTGTCAACTTATATATTATCAATTTCAAATTTCAAATTTATCACTCTAATTACATTAAGTTAACATTAGGATAAAATTTAATAAAATTAATACAAATTATAAAATGATATAATTTTATATATTTATTTAAATCAATGACTATAATTCTATATAACTAAAAAATCTCTTAATTAATAATTTATTTAAAATAAGTGATTAATAATTTTGAGTTGTTTTACTATAAAAGTTTAATTAATTTTGTAACCGTGATTTCCACGGGTTATAAACTAATATATATATATATATATATATATATATATATATATATATATATATATATATATATATATATATATATATATATATATCCCTATTCTAATAAAAGAGTAGTTTTTAATCTCCTTTTGACATGTGTCACCATATTAAGTTTCATAATTAATGCAAAATTTATTTTTCTTTTGTCATGTTTCACCTTATTATGTCTTATAATTAATGCATACCATTTGTCAACATATTGATTCTCTATTTCAAATTTCAAATTTTAAATTTCTCATTCTAATTACATTAAATTAACAACATTAGAATAAAAATTAAAATAAAATTAATACAAATTATAAAGTGATATAATTTTACATATTTATTTAAATCAATGATGATAATTTTATATAACTAAAAAAACCTCTTAATTAATAATTTATTTAAAATAAGTTATTAATAATTTTAAATTTTAACTATTAAAGTTTAATTAATTTTATAACCGTGGTTCCCACGGGTTATAAACTAGTATTTTTATGAACCAATACACTTTCACGCATGATATCTTCTATTTTAAGCTTAAATGAGATTTCAATTGATTACCTGCTAATTTTCATCATATTGACTTGTAAATATATTTCAAACCTTTTTAATAATCAATTTACACAAACATTAAGTCATAATTCACACGTAGAAACAAATGCAAAAAAAACTTCAATCTTCCCATTAGTTTGATTAATCGAATAAATGTATGTATTTCTTCCTGATGAGATATAAATCTCTAAGATCGTTTAGATCTTTCACAAGTTTGGCAAAACAATTTTAGTAAAGTAATAAACAAGAGATAGAATCAACAGTATGCTTAATGATTCAAATGATTCAAGCCTCAGCAGAGCTCGACAAAGAACTTCCGCTGTAAAGGCTTTAGGGTTTACAAGATAACAAAACAATGAAGACTATGTGATTATCTTTAGAATCTTACGTACTAAGATGCATGCAGTCATCTATAAATACTCAAACCCTAACAAAATAAGTCACGGATGGACAGGCCCAATCCGGATACAAAATAAGGCCAAGAGACAAGCCTAAGACGCAACACCATATACCCAACAATCTACCCCTTTGCGTCAATTGGGGCGAGACCTCACTTCGGCTTGCTTGCACCTGCGGCACCGGCTTTCTTCACGGTCTTGAACAGACATGGAATAATAGCCAGAAGTGTTTGTCGGAAGTGAATATACCAATGGATCATGTCGTTGAAGTATTTCTTATCACTCTCCGAATTCTGCTTGCACCGATTGATGATTCCCAGAACATGCTCCAAGCAGGAAGTGGTATAAAGATGTTTGTCAGCCAAAGCAAATAAGCATTTCTGATCTTCTGCCCTGGTGAACATGACTGAGTTTCGTTTTGGGTCAATCTTTTCCATCTGCATTCTATTTAAATCACTTGCAGAACCGACTGGAGTGATCGTAGGCTTCTTTCTAAGGACATTTGCAACTTCTTATGCCAACTTGGCAACCTCCAAAATATAGCACACCAACATCCTCTTGAAATGATCTATGATCGGACCATATTCCATTTCATTGATGAGAAGAATGTTGTGCAGGATTATCCAGTCATGAGGATTTAAATTGGGAAGATCGGCTAGAGAGACGACATGCTCGGTTTTGTCGGATCCCCTCAAGACCTTGAATCTGACATTAGTGAAGTTACCCTCCCGAACGGGTTTGAGGTCCCGAACATTGATAATCTTCTGTGCACTCCACGTCTGATACTGAGGTTGAGCTGTCCTCAAATAGAAGTCTATAAGTTCCCTATCAACCTTCGGGTGAGGATGAGGGACTTCAGCTATGTGGGCGAATGCATGGAAGATAAAAGCTTTTCTGGTCAAGGGCATGTCAAATTGGGAATCCACCGAATTGACCCGGTCCAAGGAGATCACAGGTTCAAGCCAAAGGGTGCTGGGGGACTCGATAGCTTCTTTAACAAGCTCTTCAAGAGTCCAAGGAGGAAATAGAGTTTTTCTGCTTTCAGGAGATCATGAGCCTCCTTTACCTTCCTCTCATTGGCTTCAGCCTCTCTGGCAATCCGAGCATTTTCATCGAGCTCCTTCTCCTTGGCCTGTTTCTTCAGAATGTTGGCAATCGGTTCTTTGTCCTCACTTTCATCACTATCATTGTGAATCTATTTGTCTTTGCTTTGAGCACTCAAACCTGATGTAGGAACAGTTGTTGGTTTGGGTGCTCTAGGAGGAACTAGTGAAGAGACTGGAAGTGATTGAGAATGAGCTTTGGGAATCGGAGGAGGTTGAGATTGAGTTGTGGCCTTCTTTTCTCCCCCTTGTTTCGAATGTGTCACCTGCTCAGGAAGCCCTTCAATTCGGCTAAGCAAGGCAAGGGCAGGAGCAAACTTCTCTGCAAGAGTTCGCCTCACCGAGTAGTTGAGAATCGGTTCATGGGCTTCAATAATGTTGGATAGAGCCCCGTGAACATCCGAAACACAACTCTTAACCACAGCTTTCTCAGACCGAAGAGAATCGATCTCCTTCTCTGCTTGGGAGAGTTGATGACTTGCAAGATGGAGCTCAGAAGTTTTGCGAGCAAGCTCATCCTTTGCAGTAGAGTCTGCGGCAAGTGTTTGTTGGAAGTTGAGTAGACGATCCGCAACAGAAGACTGAAAGGATTGATTGTCTTCTTTGAGGGTTTGACAGAAGCTGGCAAAGTGTTGTTTTTCTGTTTCTAGTGAAGTGACCAGCTTCTCCACAACCGTGCGCATCTTTTTGGTATTAGTTTCGGATGCCCCCCTACAAAGACTCCAGATGAATGTTAGCGTCTTGAAATAGTTTTTCGACTTTTTCGGTCGCAGCAGCACAAGCCTTTTGTAGAGTTGTCAATAGCAGCAGCAGCTGAGCTGATTGAGACTTCATGTGCTTTGGTGAAAGTGTCCACCATCCCATTAATGGCGGCCTCCGAGATATGAGATTTTGAGGTAGAGGAGGAAGCAACGAGATTATCAATCTTCTCGTGGAGTTCTTTGATGTGCTTTTTAGTGACAGGAGCATCATCATCATCATCACTTTGAACCTGGTAGGGGCTGTAGTAGATGGAATCGAAGGTCATATCTTCCCCTCCTAGAAGGGTTTCGGTTTCAACTGAGTGAGTGGGAGATAAGGGTGTATCCGATGGTTCGGTAGTGGGAGAAGGTTCGGGTGCTGAAGTAGGTTCGGGTGAAGGTGTATGTTCGGGTGCTGAAGTATGAGCCCCCGTATCAGATATGTTGGTTTGAACTCCAGTGGTTGTTGTAGTGGCTTCAGAGAAAATGGGTGGTGGTATAGGAATAGAAGTGGGTGGAATGGGAGTAGAGGAAGTTATGGGGGGAATAGAAATAGAGGAGGTTATGGTGGGAATGGAAATAGATGTGGTAATAGGTAGAGAAGATATAGGTTCAGTGACAATAGGTACCTCATGAATGGGAGAAAGGGGAGGAGAGTCGCCTCGGGTCAACTCTTCAGAGTCAGAACTTTCAGCGTCTGAATCACTCGAAGAAGCAAGAACCAGTTTGCGCTTCGGTTGTGTTTTCTTCTTCTTCGGTGGAGGGGATAGGGCCGCTTTTGACAACTTTCGCTTCTTAGGGGTAGGGCATTTCGCTCCTTTTGCAACCTTCTTGATTTTCCCTTTCTCTGGTTTCTTTCCCCTTGTGGCCAGTTTGTCTGCGTCATTAATGGATTGAATCATCTCAGGTGTCAACTCTCTCGGACCCGAAGGAGGAAACTCCTTGTAAGCTTTGAAGATCCTGCTCTCCTTGGATACACCGGCGAACATGGACTCTGGAATTGATCCAACAAAAATAAATTTGGAGGAATCAGTCACAATAATTGTCACACCCCGCTAAAGCGGAAACGCAAGGTATGACAGCGATAACGGTTTCATTGCAAAAGATAAAGATACATCACCATAGCAGTATTTAAAAGTTTACAACCCATAGCTTCAAAAGAACAAAATACAAGTTTTTCAAAATAACATTGTTCAAAATATAGCTTCATAATAGCTTCAACACGATGCAGCATGCTCTATGATGATGAATCTTTACATCCACTTACTAATTATTTCCTGAAAAAGCATGTAAAACGAGCGTCAACTATGAAAATAGTTGGTGAGTATCACAAGTTTATAAAATCGAGCGTACAATAAGGCTTTTCGTAAATACAAGTACATTGCTTCAATGATAAACAAGTTGATTGCTATTAATGAATACAAGTTTATTGCTATAACGAGAAACGAGTTTGTATGTGTATGAGCAAACAATGAGTCTCAACCAAACCTATGACTGAAGCCCTATCGAGATCTATGCTTATCGTTCCATAGATGAATATGGTATCATGCACTCCAGCGATTCGGGCGAGTGAGGAGTTGTCAATTCCTAATAGCGCTATCCATAACGACCATTGGCTCAAAGAGTTAATGGTTAGAGATAAGGGAAGGGCCTTTGTACGATAAGTTCTCATGTTCCGTGTTGCATAGACATACATAAAGAAACATAGCAATACAATAGCAATCATGTTTGATACAATTCAATTTAAGTACAACATGCAAACAATAGTTTTTCTGGACATGCTTTTCCACCCCAAAACATAAAAACGAAAATAGGGGAGTGCGTGAATACTCACGATGTTTTGTGTAGACACAAGCGGTACTTCGGGATGCACCAACGTCTTACTACCGGGATCCTACGACACCAAACACACGCACTAGTGAGTTTCCATGTCGATATCTAATGCTAATATACTAAACTCTACATATAGGGAAATGCCAATTTATGTTTTAGTATTGGATTTATATCATTTTGTTACACTTTTTCTGATGTATTGAAATTTTACAAGTCGTGCGATTAATTACAACCTTGGAAGGTTAATTTTCCAAATTTTAAGTCTCAATAACAACATAAATTCACGAAAAATAGCATTCGAGGGATAAAAATTCTCAAACTTTTTATTTAACTGTTAATACACAATACTAAGCTGGGAAAATTATAAAAATGGATTTCCAAGCTGTTTAATTATATTTTATAATTTTTGAGCATTTATTTCAATAAAAATTGAAATAAATAGTAAACAGTTTCCAAAATTACCCAAACTTTTTATTTAATTGTTATTATACATAAATAGGCTGGGAAAAATATAAAATATATTTTTCAGTGGTTATTTGTATTTTTCCTTGTTTTATTCTTTAAATAGTCATTAATTAAAGAAATATTATTAAACAGTTAAAATAAATTACCATAAATTTTTGTAACATCATTTACAGTATAAATATCTTGGGAAAAATATCAAAAGTGGTTTTCATAATGTATAAACTGGTTTTGGGTATTTATGTATATTTAAGTGAATTTTAGTGCAATTAACTTTAGAAAATAAGGGAAAAATAGTTTACAGTGGAGAAAAATATTCAAAATTTTATGTAACCTCCTACTATATAATATGATATCCTGGCAAATTTTCATGAATTTTGGATAATCAGAACTATTTTTCCCATTTTTAAGCCATTATAATTACCAAAAATTGGGAAAAATAGCTAGACATGATGAAAATCTTGAAATTATTTTCTTGAGTCACCCATCACAAGTAAGGTATGCGAAAATTGTTAGATACAATTTTCACATCCTAAAAGTGGTTTTGTAATTTATCATGTCCTAAAAAAAGAAAATTAGAAATCATATGAAACAGTAACAAAAATTGCTGAAATTTGGTGAGGGGTCATTATTCCCCATAAGTA